GATGTTATTTTGGGTATGGACTGGCTATCGTCATACCGGGCTGTTATCGTAATGGAACTCTGATGAATAGAAGAATGTGGAGCTTTTTATATCAATGCATGTCTATATTGATGGGTTTAATGTTATTATTTTGAGGGCGTTACAGGTAGGCTTGGTGCATGCATGTGAGAAATCTAGTTGGTTGAGTTGAAAGTTCAGCTCCAGGAATTGCTAGGATCCTTGAGTTTCTGGAAGTCTTGTTGGAAAAGCACTTGATCAATGCTAGGAATAGTTTAAAAAAAATGCCCAAAATTTTTACTTTTGGTATGATTGTTGAACTAATAAGTTGTATTTCTTTTTTTGAAAAAAAAAAAAAAAAGTCCAGCATTTCAAAAGATAAAATTATCTCAACGGTTAAAATCTACGTTCAAATACCATAGGGGTAGGATAATGGTTGATTTAATTTGTTGTGGTAGCTATACAAACAATAAGGCAAAGTCAAGGAAAGTCATCTCTAATCTCGTAATTGGTTTTAGTTCACCGCAAGATAATCACATAATGTAACTAAATAGTATTTCTTAATCAATTTCAACGTAAGAAGCAATAAACAATTACTTGGGGCAACATAGCCAATTGTTCCTCTGATCCCAATCGAACTTGATTGCTGATGAATAGAAATTTCATTGGTTGTTGAAAAAATCTTTGTCAAGCCAAAATCACTAACATGGGCACACAAATCACCGTCAAGAAGAATATTACTTGGCTTTAAATCACAATGAATAAAAGCCATTTCACAATGGCGATGAAGATAATCCAATGCATATGCTACATCAGTGGCAATGTTTAGCCTTTGAACATAATTCAAGTTCTTAGGTTCATGTTGCTCTAAAAGACTTGGGTGTAACCAATTTTCTAAGCACCCATTTTCCATGAATTCGAAGACCAAAGCCTTGAAGTCATTGCCTTTAAAGATCAATGCTTGAGCAAGCTGTAATTATCTTGACAAGATTTCGATGGTGAATGTTCTTCAATGCTTGTAAGGGTTGTTGTTATTGTTGAAAAAATGTATAAAAACTGCATTGAAATATGTAAAGATATTTTGAGGTATGTGACAGTGTATTAAGATTAGAGTAAATTACATTGATAGTCCTTGCAATTTGCTTATTTTATCATTTTGGTGCTTATAATTTCAAATAGCTCAATTTCGACCTTTAATTTTAAATTGCGTTAAGTTAGTCAAATTGATAATGTCGATTAGGTTTTTAAGAAAAATGGTCACTGAGGTAGTTGAAATTAACTCATTGAATTGAACACATTTATAATTTTGTATATAAAATCATAATACGTGTTGCTTATGTATAGATTTTCTTTCAAAAAAATACTAACAATTGCAATAAATTGGATTAAATTGAGACAAAATTATAAATTTAATATCAAAATTGAGCCAATTGAAATTATAAAAATCAAATGACAGAATGACAGAAATATAGGACTATCGGTGTAATTTGTCATTAAGATTATAAATATTTTGATATTTTGTGCATCATATTGACAACTCTTAGAACTACCATTAGTAGGACCAACCAACCATGAGCTATTTATGAACGATTCAGTTCGTTTGTAGAAAATTTTTGGAATTAGGTAGAAAGAGGGAACAAAATTATGGAAAAATTATAAATCATGGTGCCTTACACAAAATATTTACAATTCATGAAATGTTTATCATTGATTTAATTTTATTTTTGAAAACAATGCAATTTGCACATGAATATACTAGTACACAATGTGATTATGTGTATACCCATTTTCCACATGAATCCATGATCATGTTGTCTCATTTCTCCAACAAAGTGGCCACATACCTCTCATATGGGAGTTTAGATCCTCCAGAGTTCCTTCTCTAGAGTGATCTCTTTATAGTTCGATCCAATGGCTGAAATTAAGAGAAACCAAAATTACGTCATTTTGATTAAGTCTGAAAAAACAAAAACAGCGCAGAACAAAGAGAGAGACAGAGAAGACACCCCTCATTTCCCTCTCAATCGACAGAGGGAGTCCTTTGGTGGTGCAGCGGATTGAAGATCTGGACCCAGAATTTTCTATTTCCTGATGTAGTTGCATTGTGTGTTTTCGTTGGGTTGCTATTGTTATACTAACTTGCAATTTGGGATTTTTTTATTATACTAGTTGGACCCCCACCCGCTACACACGTAGGGGTCGCATTATTGTTGCTAGAAATAATAAGAGAACAAAATTGAAATTATTTTTTTTCAAAAAAATCCCCAACACAAAAGACACACTGTTTCTTCTTTTCTATTGAATAATTATAATCACATTTTACATTTAACGAAATTGGGAACCAAAAAACAAGTCAGTCCCTTGTCCTAGAAAAAACGAAAATACTTTGTGGATTAGTTAAACAATTTTTTTTCCCTTCTTGCATCCAGCCAATACTTTGTCAAAGGTTACGCGTATGGTTATCCTCCACTGGTCATGAATTCCCCGTATCAAGAAGATTTGCAAATTAGAAAGGTATACTCATTCAGTAACCTAGTAAATTAGTATGGAAGAATTCTTCAAATCTCCTATAAGCAACTCTTGTGAGTAATGGGCATATGTATGGCCATGATTTCTCGAGTCAAATAGATGTTGCAACCACCTCTTTTTATTAGCATGTGCTTGTGGACATGCAGCTAAAACCTAAACCACTAAAATCATTATAAAATAGGAAGAAATATAAGCATAGAGGTGACTATTTCTTCAAAAGAATCAAGCAGCATTTCAATGGTCTATGCCCAATATAATTGGCACAAACCATTGCAATCTAACATCTATTCATGTAGTCCAAATTTCTGTAAGACATATTACTAATAGTTAAAAAAAAAATTATTACTAATAGAGGCAAACAGAAATGCCACTAATTTAGCATACAATTCCAGGTAGACAGAATTAAATTAGGAAGCAGATCTATAGATCTATTGAAAATCAAGCAATGAAAAAGATTACCTTGACAACATCTGGGGATGATTGAAAGCACAAAGACTAATGAGTTGGGTTATCAATGGACACCATGGTTCCTCATAGGACTGGAAAACAATAATTGCAAAACATAAAGTGAATAAAAATACCCAACAAACAAAAATATAGTCTTAATTGGTAAATTTTGTATGTTAATTGACATACAAAAACACCGCCCCTTATTGAGAACTCAAGTTTCGCGCAAGTTGCTTAATCCATTGCTTGTTGCTTTCAAGCCGGAGCCCGGCTCCACTCTAAATTCACCATTGCATGAAATTCACATTTTCCATCTTATCGTATTGATTCTATTTTTCATATTTCTTTATTTTCCTCAATCTTTACCATAACAGACCTCAACGGATAGGTTTAACTAGAAGATCCAATAGCTGGTTCATTCATTCATTTTGTCTAAAGTAGGTATGACCTTTTGATGAATGACTGTCAAACAAAAAAAAAAAAGAGACGAAAGTTAACTAAAAAATTCATTCTAAAGTTATTGATTTTATTTCTAAACTTATCACTTAAAGAGAAAACTTAGGTGTGGATCATATACCTGGTTTTGATTGGAACCTGCTAGTCGCAATCATATCGATCTATTATTACGGGATTTGAGACATTTCCTTCCACACATTCTGGAAAGCAATCTTTATGGAAAAACCACTGCCTGTCATGTTTTGATCATTACCCTAATTTCATTGTTGGACGGAAATGGTTCATGAAGACTTATATCATGCACTTGCACCAATGGATTTGATTTTCACAAGCTTTCAATACTAACAGATGAAGGTCATCAAGGTTTAGAACCTAAGAAAAAGACAATATATCAAACAATTAACAACAGAAAAAAAGAGAGGAAATTATTCAAAACACAAATAACAATATTTTATTATCTTAAACAAAGTATGACAAGTGATTTTCTTAGCTTATATTTCTTCTTGGTGGTTATTAAATGGCTACTGAAATTTGGATTATGCCTAATGACAGCCTAATGAGCTGTCAATTAAAAAAAAGAAAATGAAAAATGGAGGGATCTTTCCAATCAATTCTGTCACGATATAGTATCGAGGGGCAGCTTGTTAACAGTGGCTTGACTATAGTCATTATGACAAGAAAGAAAAAAAAATTGTTTTGGTAGATGTACAAACCTCTCCAGCTGGAAGACGAAGGTGTTCAGACCATAGCGTAAGGCGAAGACTCGAAGAAAATTTTCCTGCCTTCCAAGGCTTTCCTCCCATACATGAATCAACAAATTCTTTGTCTTCAATAAGTACATTATTATCTTAAACAAAGTATGGCAAGTGATTTTCTTAGCTTATATTTCTTCTTGGTGGTTGTTAAATGGCTACTGAAATTTGGATTATGCCTAATGACAGCCTAATGAGCTGTCAATTAAAAAAAGAAAATGAAAAATGGAGGGATCTTTCCAATCAATTCTGTCACGATATAGTATCGAGGGGTAGCTTGTTAACACTGGCTTGACTATAGTCATTATGACAAGAAAGAAAAAAAAAATTTTGTTTTGGTAGATGTACAAACCTCTCCAGCTGGAAGACGAAGGTGTTCAGACCATAGCGTAAGGCGAAGACTCGAAGAAAATTTTCCTGCCTTCCAAGGCTTTCCTCCCATACATGAATCAACAAATTCTTTGTCTTCAATAAGTACACCAATCTGAATCAACATCATTTTTGTTTACAACTAAGAGAAACTACTACAAAAAAGTGGAGATTTGTAAATTAAAATGGAAGGGCATATCATACTGTTTCCGGTTTTGCAATTTTAAACAGCTGACCAAAGAATGGAAAACATTAATGCAAAAGGATCCAAAAGTTTAAGTTGATACCTCAGAATCTCTTGATCCAAGTAAACTCCTGTCATTTATAATAGCTGATCCTATCAAGGATATACAGTCATCAATCATCATGATTTTGCTATGCACATATATCTGCAGAAACATAAGAATGCAAAATGAGATGTGAATATCTTCTCTCCATACCATACTTCACATGATCCGTTTCCCAAATTTGGTTTTCTAGTTTTTGTATCTAATACCAAACAATTGAGCGGTGAAAGCATGTTCGGAATAAGGTAGTAAACAACTTCTACCAAAAACAAAGTAAAAAAATCGAGGAGGGAAAAAAAAAAAAAAAGAAACATAAGGAATGCTCTTATTGGAATTTTAGCGAATACCTGGCATGCTTCCATCAATTGAGTCAACGAACTTGAGAATCACTCTCTCCAAAACCTAACTAAAGAATGTAATTGTTGCGCATCAGCTGGAGAGGAAACAAAAAATTTTAAACACTAACAGATATTCCATTTATTGGTGCAAAAATGGATTAAGAAATTAGGTACATACCAGAGGGGGGTAAGAGAAAGCAAAAGGCTTTTCCCTGAATTGAAGATCTGTAACAATTGATGGAAGAGGGTTTGATGATGATTGAAAACGAAATTTAGGAGCCACCGCCAAGAGTACGTAGAAAATGAATTCCAAACTGTAAGCATACAGCGTATACATGTACACCCCAAACCGGAAGCTTTCCAGAGCACAGATGGGAGCCCTGGGTTGGCTTTATAGACAGTTCACTGAAACAAAAAACAAAAACAAAAAATATATCCTCTTTCAACTTTATCTTCTTCCTCTTTTTTACAAGAAAACAGAGGAAGGGTTGAAATTCATTAATGAAAAGTAGTGTTAAGGAATCTTCCATCCCAAGCTCACAATAGGGTTTCAATCAGGGTTAACCTCCTTTCTCTACATTGAATAATGTTCTCAAGACCTAAGAAAAAAAAAAGGGGGGGAGGGGGGTAAGAAATTAATCAATTAAAGGTAAATGTATTGGGTGGAGTAGATGATGTAAAAATGACATTTTCTTTTATGTTGCTAAAAAATATCAAGCTTGGCTATTGATTGAGTGGAAGCTTAAGTAGATTGGTTCATGCAGAAGGATGGTTTCTTGGTGCTTAATGAGTCAAGTTTGGGATCAACTTGAAAAATCAAAGAACTCTAGAGCTTAAACCCAAGTAACTCAATATGCTCCATATATAGTATTCTAGCTATGATTACAGTCAACAAATATGGCCTTATTGACACTTATGTTGCCTTTCTTGATTCAGTGCCTTGGAGAATTCACTATAATTATGCAAACCTGTAATACAAGAATTTGTGTTTCTAATGATGAAAATGGAAGAGTTTTAAAAAAAAAAAAATTAAAAAACAATGGATGAGTTTGAAAATATTCCTGAAAAAAAAAATGTAATTTGCAATATTCATATCCTTTGGTATCAACTATTCGACAATAAAACAAAAGAAGTTTTATTTTACTAAGAGCTCTCCATATTTGGACAGATTTAGATCCTAAATTGACTTCAGGGTTAGCTTTGTTGTTCTACTTAAAATCTTTTGGAAGGACTGTTTACTGTTGGCACTGAAAGAGTTCTAAATTGCTAACATTTACTATTTCACTACAGATCATACAAAAGCAGTCCAAGTAAGATTGCAAAACATCCAAACTACCCCACAAATGTCACGTAAGATCATGACAATTAGATATTGCATGGATGAGGAAAGCAACTAAGATTAAAAGATTTGAAATTTACCTCTCACCAGAATTAAAATCTTTGAACAGATTACTTGAGGAACAATGGCTTCTCTAATCTTTTCATTCATAGTGAAAATCCAACTAAAATTATACTTAAAAGGTAAATTGAACTATGTTTAATATCATTAGCAATACAAAAAAGATAAATTGAAAAACAAAAGAAAAAAATTGTAACCCATTTGAATTGGCACAAAACAAACTCTAAAAGAACACTTTGGAATTGAATGTTGCATCCACACAAGACTAAACACAACTCGATGCATTTACAAAGTTACAAAGATTCAATTTTTAAATTTTTTTTTGGTAATTCAAATTTTATCAAAACACAAAGAAAACTAATTCAAATTATATTCAAACAAACTCCAAGCAACCAACAAAACCAAAACAAGGAATTTTCAATATCTTGGGCAAATTACTATTTTGTTTTACTGAATGCTCACTTGAACAAAGGCAGATAATTGTATTAAGATTAGATGAACTATTGTCTTCTCTTCTTTTGTTAAAAAACTGTTGTCTTCCTATTCTTCTTAATGGTTCTTCAACATCAACTACTGACTACTTATTTAAAAACAACAATTTCAACTGAAACTTAAAATGTTGAGGCACAAGTAGGAATAAGGGATTCATTTACAGATACTAATAAGAACTTCAAACCAAAGCACAAATGCATGACCAGTAATTTGAACAAAAAACAAATTCAATTCAATGTCGGCACTAACCAAGCTCATAAACAAACATCTGAAAACAATTTTCAATGAAGCAAACATAGGATTATGGAATTAAGAAATGGAATTCACAGCTACTGGAATATGGAAGTTGAGGAATGTCATGCCTATTTTGTTTCTTGGACCAAACTCCCAGTAATTCGCAGCAAAGCAACAGTTTACACCTCTTGAAATAGCAGAACTTGTGGAAGAAGTCTGAGTGGAAAGCTGCAGCAACACACGTGAGAAGAGGTGATGAACAGCTTGCTGGAGAAGACCCAACCGATGGAGATCTTGCTCAGCAATCTTCAACAAGGGTGAATTTTCCATTTCACCTGGGTTAGACACACTGATGTTAGAGGCAGATTTTCCTGGTTTTATAGGTAGGTTATAGACTAGAAGATTGTTGCTAGCATTGTGTTTTTTATTTTTTTAACACTTTCTACTAGTAAATTTTTGTTTTCCTCGTAATAAAGATTATTCATATTTCCCATTAGCTATATACATTGATTAAGTATTAGTTTTGCATCTAGATAATATGTCACTAATACCATTACACCGTCAGATTAAGTTTTAGATTAATATATGATGAGGGTGAAATGAACATAAATGAAACATTTTTCCCGTTGCTCAATAATTTATATGAGTGATATTGGTTAGTATTTGATGTATGATAACTTCATAATCCATCATATTATGAGCTAAATCTTTTTTTGTTTTTGTTTTTGTTTTTTTCTTTTAGCTTCTATGGCATCAGTTTTTTGTTTTGAGCCAAGCTCCCTTATGTACAATAGAATTACTAGAGAGCATAAACCAAAAAACAAAACTAGATATAGAGAGCATACATATAAACATATAGAAACCTTAACTAGGTATATAAATATTTGATGACAATGCCACAAGTACAACCACTTTCATGCCTTTCCTAGCTTAACAATTACAAATTCAGAAAAGAAAAGAAGGGGGAGAAGAAAAGTGAGGAAAAGAAAATCCTATAACATCAAAATAACTTACAGATGCGACTTTAGTTAAGAATTTCTTCTTCCATCCTAATGCCTTTGTCCCCTAACCCCAAGAAATACATTTCTAATCTTGTGTAGTTCTTTGAGAACATCTTTCACACTCATTCTTTCACTCAGCATTTTAGCAGAACATGAAACTCCAATTTGAAAGACCAGTACTAGGCAAGCCTCTAGTTTAGAAATGTTAGTTGTACTACTTTGCATGCTCCTACTTGGCTCCTCTTCCATTTCCAATATGATTTGGGGATCAACGATCTGCATTACTTGCTCCGGAAGACACATTTGTACATAGCTATGGAGGTTTACATTGCCCGTAAACATGTTATTAGTTGGTCTTTTTCCAGTGAACATTTCTAGTAGTAACACTCCATAACTGTACATATCACCTTGCATTGATACCTCCACACCCATACCATACTCTGCATGCAATATGAAATAGTTAAAAAAAATGCCCAAAATTTTTACTTTTGGTATGATTGTTGAACTAATAAGTTGTATATCTTTTGCTGAAAAAAAAAAGAGTTCAACATTTCAAAAGATAAAATTATCTCAAGGGTTAAAATCTACGTTCAAATACCATACAGGTAGGACAATGGTTGATTTAATTTGTTGTGGTAGCTATACAAACAACAAGGCAAAGTCAAGGAAAGTCATCTCTAAAACATGGCTTAATTTCTATATAATCTCATAATTGGTTTTTTAGTTCACTGCAAGATAATAATTTAATGTAACTAAATAATATTTCTTAATCAATTTCAACGTAAGAAGCAATAAACAATTACCTGAGGCAACATAGCCAATTGTTCCTCTAATCCCAATTGAACTTGATTACTGATGAATAGAAATTCCATTGGTTGCTAAAAAAATCTTTGCCAAGCCAAAATCACTCACATGGGCACACAAATCACCGTCAAGAAGAATATTACTTGGCTTTAAATCACAATGAATAAAATCCATTTCACAATGATGGTGAAGATAATCCAATGCACATGCCACATCAATGGCAATGTTTAGCCTTTGAACAAAGTTCAAGTTCTTAGGTTCATGTTGCTTTAAAAGACTTGGGTGTAACCAATTTTCTAAGCTCCCACTTTCCATGAACTCGAAGACCAAAGCCTTGAAGTCGTTGCCGTTAAAATCAATGCCTGAGCAAGCTGTAATTATCTTGACAAGATTTCGATGGCGAATGTTCTTCAATGCTTCACATTTTGTAACAAAACTCTTGTTCTCTCCACGTTCGTGTAGTTTGAGCACCTTCACAGCAACAATTTGTTCATCGGAGTTGAGAATCCCTTTATAAACAGAACCATATCTTCCCTCACTAATTAAGTTGGATGGAGAGAACCCATTTGTTGCTTGAAAAAGTTCTCCATAAGATATTTGCAAATATTGGTTTTGCAAAGGCAAGGCTAATTTGATTTGCTGTCTTGACCTTTTGCTTCGGTAAATAAAAGCTAAAATGCACAATGATAATAGAACAATAGTGAGAGTAACTATTAGAACTATTACTCTATGGTTGAAAGGTCGTTTCTGTTCATTTAAGACTTGCATTGGGCATGCAGGCAATTGCAATAGTTTAATTCCTCCGCATAGCTTACTATTTCCAACAACTGAGAAGGCACTAATGTTTGTGAAAACTCCTCCATTTGGAACTTTACCATCAAACATATTATAGGAAAGATTGAGATATTGAAAGAACCGAAACTCCCTGAGAAACCTTGGAATCTGTCCAGACAAGTTGTTCCAAGAAACATCTAGTTCTTGAATACCTTTCAATTGTCTGAAGGCCGTCGGAATTGTACCTTTGAAAAGGTTACCATCGATGTAGAGGAATTCTAAAACTTCACAATTGCCAAGAGTAGCTGGGATTTCTCCAAATAGTTTATTTTTTGAAACATATAGTCCACCCAGATTTTTCAAGTTACCCACTTCTTGTGGTAGTAGTCCTGTTAAGTAATTTTGACTTAAGGATAGATTAATGAGGGAAGACAGACCAAAGATTTGATAAGGTATTGCTCCCGTGAGATGATTGTGATCAAGATGAATTTGTTGTAGATTGGTACAGTTGCCTAAACAAATAGGAATGCTTCCCTCAATCGTATTTGTTGATAGGTCAAGTGTACCAAGCCTACTCGGGTTTCTAATAGACGATGGAATCTCTCCAGAGATGATATTATTGTCAAGCACGAGGATTTCCAACATGGAGAGTTTTCCAATGGAATTTGGAATACTACCAGTAAGCATGTTATAACTGAGTAAGAGGAATTGCAAATTTACAAGGTTCCCAATGCCAAGAGGTATGCTTCCAGATATATAGTTGTCTTGTAGATTGAACCAAGTGATCTTGGTGGAGAGATTTGCAATAGAATGGGGCAAAAAACCTTTAAAATCATTAATAGCCAAATCCAGAGCTTGTAGATTGGAACAATTGGATAAAGAAGTGAGGAATCTCATTAATTCATTTGCTTGGTTTGTTCCAAGTGAATTGCCAGAAGCAGCTAGAAATTCTAAAGCATCAAGGGTTCCCAGATTCATAGGCATGGGACCAATAAACAAATTCATGGCAAAACTAACGTGCCTAAGTCTTTTAGCATTGGCTAGTGACGATGGAATTTGGGCATAGAATTGATTTAATGTAACAAAAAATACTAGTAAATTTGGAAGGGTCGAGCCTAAATCTGGCGGTAGAATTCCATGCAATTGGTTGTCAGCGATGGAGAAGAAATAGATTGATGAGATATTGTAAAGAGACGTGGGAACCATACCGGATAAATTGTTTACTGATAGCTGAAGATACTCCAACTTCAAAAGCTGCCCAAGTTGGGTGGGAATGCTTCCCGCTAGATTATTGTACGGTAGAGAAAGCCTATGTAGATTGGAAAGGTTCCCAATTGAAAGTGGGATAGCTCCAGTAAGATGATTGGCTGCAAGAATCAAGTAGGAGAGATTGGACAAGGAACCCAGCTCTGTAGGAATTTTACCTACTAGATTGTTACCACCCATATGGATAACTCTCAAGTTCGAACAATGAGCCAAATTGGTAGGAAATTCACCTTGGAAAGAGTTATTCAAAAGCAGAAGATACTGCAGGCGAAACAACTTGCCAATTTCCGGTGGGATTTCGCCATGAAAACTATTGTTACCGAGATCAATCCTCCTAAGGAAGGTGAGGTTCCCAATGTGAGGAGACACAGAGCCCACCAATGAGAGAGATGACAGGTTTAGGACTGTCGCACGTTGATGTCGACGACCGCATGAGACTCCTTGCCAATTACAAAAGTGAATTGAATGATTCCATGAGCTTAAGGCACCCAGAGGATCTCCTTGTATCAAATCCTTGATTGCAAGCAGTGCCTGATGGTCTATCTCGTTGGTGAGAACGAGACTCGGGTTGCCCTTGGCAGTGGTGATCAATTCAAGAGAGTTGATGAAAAAGAAAATGAAACATAGACAGCTGAGAAAACTTCTGGTATTTGCTTGCTCCATTTGGTGTCAAAAACAGAATATTGTTATGATGAGAAATAAAGCTGATGATCAACTTACATAGACCAATAGAGAGCCAAATATATGTATTTATAGAGCCAAAGACTTGGGACTATTTATTTTATTTTATTTTTTGTGCTCTCAGTTTACTGTGGTATTAAGGGGTCATGGCGAAAAAGTTAAAAAATTCAACCTTAATAGCAAAACGTCATATTAATCAATCACATTTTTCCCCTCTACTATCTATTCTAGTTCTTTTTCCCAAACACATATTAACTTTGTTCACCTCATAATTGTTTAGATTAGTCCACAATATATGTGGGTCAGATACAGTTATTAGGTTAGTTTAAATACGTATTTGAGTTAAGATAGTAGAGTCCGGAATCTACTAGGAAATCCAATATGTATATAAATGGCTAAACTATTATAAATAGTCATGTAAGTTTATTCATCCCGCAACTATTGTATTCAAATTGCATATTTTAACGAGTTTTTCAGGCTTTGACTAGTCAACGGGCTAGTATGGCCCTGCCCTATTTAAAAAATTAAAACCACATCCCACCCTTAAATCCAAATCTTACTGGCCAAAATTAAACCAAATAGGGTTACACATTTTTCATTATACTTACATTATTAAGTTACACAATTTTCTTTCACATATTTTTAATATTTTCATTTTTGTTTTTAATACTTTCCAACATAATTTAAGTATTTTGATTTTTTTTTTTTTACCTTTTTACATCTCATATAATCAAAAAACAATTATGTAACATATAATACCTACAAGTGGAGAGAAAAAAAACAAAAAGAAAAAAAAATAAAAACTTTAAACATGAGAATTAAAAAACTAAACAAAACATTAGACTTACCCATACGGGCTCTTATGGGCTGGGTTTGTGGGCGGACTCGGGTTGCAAACTTTTGTCCAAAATTCTAAATCACCTTTTTATGAGTTGTGACGGGCTGGGCACTTAAGCGAACTGGGACGGGTGGACCGAGTTGGGTAATATCAGGTTTTTTTTTTCGCGAGTCATTTGTGGACCCCTAGAAAGAGATTAAGAGAGTGGTGAGGGAAAAAATGGAGATGTAAGGGGTGAGAGAAAAAATATCGTGGATACTAGTGTGGGCTTTTTGAGCATTTTTTGACATCACACATGTATTCTCTATTCTATTTATAGTGAAATTTCTCTCTCCTATAAATGTAGGCAATTTGGGCAAAGCACATAAATTTGTGCGTGATTATTTTTCTCTTTGGTGTATACGTAGGTGTGTTTCCGTTCGCATTGGTGAGATATAGAACAAATCCCAACATTAAAAAAATTAAAAAACAAAAAAATTATTTAAAAAATTAAGTTGCCGAATGAAGTCTAAGATTATCTTAATTGCTCTTACTTTTTGGTTAACGAGTAAACTCCTCAAGCTTGTCCTCCTCGACTTCGGAATCAACTACCTAATCTTAGTTTAATCGGAGTAGGACGAGGGACAAACCTCGGGTCTGTGCACTGACTCCACAATGCATACACCATTTAAGTCAGAGAGTTCAGCTGTCAGGATTCGACCCCATACCTAAGCCTTGGATACAGTTCGTCCAACACTTACTTGCTGGCTAATGAATGGAGGAAATTCACATCTACTCTATGAAGTTGAACTTGCATCATAATAAATAAATATATATATATATATATTTCAAAATATAATTTTCATATGGAACTTAGCAAAAATATGTATTCAGGAAAAATATTTTGAGAAGTAATCCAAACATAAAGTGCATGTATTTAAAACTGATTTTTTCTTGCTTTTTGATATGCTAGTAGGGAGGTGCATCTGCGTTGCACATGGCATATGAAATGATTTATAAACGAAACACGAGTCTTTATTTGGATTGTTTTATCAGGTAATCTTATATTAATATATTAATGTGGGCTTCTATTTTATATAGTGATTTTGTACTTAGCTTACAATGCTATAATTATAGTTGATTTTGCTGGCATAGTCACTTTAAGATAGAAATAAGTTAAAATACGGATTTCTCTGGGGTAGACTGCCCATCTCAGGCTAAAATAGTCAACAAAACAAAATATTTCATCACATCACTTTCTCTATTTTTGTACACGTCTTTTCATAAAGAAATCAAATAGTCAACTAAAATAGCCTATTTCCAAACAGGTTTGGTGATCATTTATGGATCTTCAATTATTTAGAAGTGAAGTTAATCTTTAGTTGTTTTTTTTGTTTTTTGATTTTCTAGACACTTGGTAAATTAACGATTTTTTTTTTTTTTTTGTTGACAATATTAAGTGCAAAAAAATAGAATATAAAACATATAAAGAAAATGTCTTGGGTAGTTAAAATTCATTTGGAGTGTGATGTGAATTAGACTTAAAATAAATTCATCCAACACTTTTATGTGTTTTATTTTTGTGAGTCTTCCTACCACCTTAAAAAAAAATAAAAAAATAAAATAAAATAAAACTATTGTTCCTTCCTTTTTACATAATTGAACTATTGTGAAAAAATTATTGAATACAAAATAATACAAAAATTTAATACATTTTAGTATTTTGTTATATTCAATAATGTTTTAATTTTTTTTTGTACGAATTATATATTTTTTAAGTGTATATATATTAAGTCGATCTAAAATTAAAGATTCAAAATATACTCAAGAGTTGTCTGCTTTTCTTTATGCATATATGAACGAAGAATGGAACAAAAAGGCTACTACTTGTATAAAGCCTGACCTGATAAGTGGGCGGTTTGTCTACGAATTAGAGTGGACTGTTATGTTTTTATCTGTTTGTACAACTACTGGGTTGTCAAACAGAGTTGATTAGGAGACAATGCGATTAGCTCACAAAAAAAATGATAATAAATAAACAAAAAGAAAAAAATAAGCGAATTGAGGGTACTCAACCCACTATTAATGGTTTTAACAGAATCACCCACTCAAATAGATTATGGGTTTGTACTGTTTAGGTGATACCTTTGAGTGGTGTAAGACCCTTTTTAATCAGTTGACGATATTGACGATATTATTATGTATGATGATGCATATTATAATACAAATAATATAATTGAACATGAGTCATGTGTCTGAAACAGAGAACTTGACAACTTCTCAAAGTACCAATCACTTTGTTTGGTTTCAATTTTCTAGATTCACTTTTCAAACAATTGAATTTTTTTGTTTTCCTAATCATTCAGGGTGTTTGATAGTAGATTGTGATGTTTCAAGGTGTTTGATTGTTTTAAGGTGTTTGATGTTTGAAGGTGTTTGAATTCCAAAAGATATCTGTGGTTGTTTGTGATTTTGCTAATATTTAATAAGTTTGTAGGTATTTTTGAAATACGTAAAAAGTAGAAAACATAACAATTCTTCACACTTTTATAATAGTGTATATGTATATATGTATTTGTATATATATATATGTATATATTAGTAGTAGATAAAATAAATTTTCAGTTTTTAACACGTTCATTTTCAATCGTATTATGACTTATTCAACTCTTTTTAGTCGATCTTAGGTAAGATTTTTTCAATTTTAATTTAAAAAAAAAATTGTTTACGCAAATTCTATAATGTCAATGTAAATAATAATTTGATTTTTTTTTTATTATTTAATTTCAAACATGAATTGAAATCTTTTAAACAGATTTATAATTATACCCAGTAAGCCAACTATCAATATTATATATACAATAGGATTTGGATTCCTTCCAGTTCGTGATCTAAATGGAAAGGTATTGTTTGAGCTCGTGGGGCTTACTATAAGTCTCATTTTGATGATTTCAATTATTTATTTTATCGTGTCCTTCGTGTATATTATTCACATACAAATTTAGGCCGATCTGATGTTTGTAACGTATTCAATTTATTGCGTTTATTATTAAAAAAAAATGGTCTATTTTTAAAAATACATTTTTCATCCATAATAAATTTAATAAGTTATGATTATCGAATGGTTTTAATTTTTGTGTGGATAATATATACAATGTCTGATAAAATAAATGATTCAAATCATCAAAAAAAAAAAAAAAACCTGTGGTGAACTCCATGGACACAAATAACACCCTCCAATTTATATTCTGAACATGAATCGGAGAGAAGTCAAATCCATACAAATATACCAAGCATTTACGAGTCTTTTCTAAATAAATTGTTGGGACAAATGTCAAATTAATTTTTGTAATAAAATAAATTCTAAATTTTTAATTTTGTCAATTTAAATATTAATCTTTTGATTTGTTTTCAATATAAACTATTTAGTTATTTTCATTAAGTAAAACAGAAAAGGTGTATTTTATTCATTAAACTCAATAGAAATAATTATATTGAGTTTAATGGCTAAAATACTATTTTTTCGTCAATTTTAATTAACGAAAATAGCTAAATGGTTTATATTGATACAAATCAAAAAATTAAGGTTTAAATTGATAAAATTAAAAATTCAAGATTTATTTTGTTATAAAGGTCAAACTCCATAACCTTTTTTATTTTTTTTTTAATTACCCCTTGTGGGAGCCGGATAATTAGAATAATCAGAAGCGTACTCTAGAAAACAGATATTACACGGCTCTACCCTGCATGATAAGGACGCCGAATATAATAGACAGGACGAATGGATACTGAACTATGGAGCCGAGTAAATAAGAGGATAATGAGTGACAAGTGGGCCTGGCCACGAGGCCCAGGAAACAAGTATAAATAAAGGAACAACAGACTAAGAAAGATGTGTGAGAATTGCTGTGCTGAACTTAGAATAAAAGCATTTTTGTACGTTGAGACTGACTTGTCTGTCGGAGTGCTAATTCCGGCACCCCCGACCGGAGTGTTTATTCCTTTTCAGGTGACTAGAAGAGGATCACAAGCGTTCCCCAGGATCAGAAGAGTATTTCCAAACCACCTCTCCACAATTGGCGCCGTTTGTGGGAATACTCAAGCACACCCATGGCGAGCGTGACGGAAGATCCTCCGTCAGTCACTGTTGACCCTATACCGCAAG